ATAGATGTAGGCTTGTCATAGAAACAAATGGGGAACGAATTCCATATTAAAACTATTTAAATAAATGTACTTTTTTTCACGTATATCTCCTATTACTACTGTATTTTTACTATTACTATTTACTGTTGCACAAATATATCTATTATGAGAAAAATCAAACCGTGCTGAAAAGCGATCAGGTCATCATGAAGGCATTCTGCAGCAATACGTTGAAAAAGAGGAGGAAACGATAATTTCGATGTGGAGGGGAAGACAGGCACTTGATGTAGTTAAAAGGTTTTTAGAACAAAAGATTTTAAACAGAAAATGATGTAAAGTATATATGTAAGATAATTCGATGAGCCTGTTGTAAGAACGATCATTATATACAAACTATTCCGAACAGAACAGTCATCCTATTTGTACATAATGACGACGACAATAAAATCAAGAACGATTCGAGAAAGTACGTAATCGTTTGTCGAAATTCAGTGGCCTTCTGTTATCGAGTAGAATTCTGTTAATGTGAAGGCGGCATTCTCAACAATTGGACCTCGCAGAAAGCGCTTTCACCTTGAGTCAGCTTACTCTATTCCATATGGAGGGATATAATCCAAGTATCGAATATTTCTGTCCTCTATGTTTACACTAATTCTAAATTGGGTCTGTGCAATTTTACTTATTTACTAAGCAGCCCCGAGTCGCGTGTCATTATGAAAAAGAATTGGTGAATCGCGTATCAACTCTTACTTTTAATTTACAGCGGTCAGAAACATTCGTGTACCTTACAGTAGAAATTAAGTTGAACTTGAAAAATCTCAATCATAAGTGGTGATGGAAATCCAGACCAATTGCAATTTTCAGAATTGCAAGTCGGCAAACAGAAGTACATCGTTACAATCGCAACACGTACGATTACGAAATACTTTGGAATATATATATCTAAACCCCTCGTCAAACGGTTGTAATTTAAGGATACTACAAGTCTGTGTACACACATACTGACCGATCTTGCAGCAATCATTGCTTGTCTTCTTTGTGGGGCTCCAGTCGTACGTAATCGATATGCTATACAGAAGTAACAAAAAATAAGCTCATGAAGATCTTTTCTATGAATACGCTCGCATTGATTGGTAGTGACTTACCAGCCCGCTATGCATTGTCGAGTCGTGTGAATACAATTTAGCAATAACAGTTCGGTATGTATACGAAGAACCCCTAAGCTTCGATGGACAATCATCAGATTCGCTCACAACTACTGGCTTAGGTACTCGATATTCAGTCCAGTCTTTCTTATCTATGACAGATTGAATGTCCTCTCTGCTAGGTCGAAATTCCACAATTGGCTCGACCACTACTTCTGTGTCATCAGACTGCAAAAATAAAGTAGGAAACTGTCATTAAAAGCCCCAAACCGACGACGGAACAACGTTGAATGCTTACTGGGTCGACAACTCGTGTCTCAAAACAAGCGCAATCTAAATTACTTCCGCGCCCTGCAATGATTCTCCATATAACGTCGTATGTACCGTAAGGGACAGAATCGAAAGTAACAAATACCTACGTTTATGATTATAAACGAGCCGTTAAATTGAGCATGGCAGACTAATTAAATAGCAACAAGTTGTCAGAATAACCTGCCTCTAACCACCACACATGGTTCAGAGCTATAACACTTTTAATATGGCTTTTATGTCCGGGGTATTAATCAGTCTCTATAATAAGACGAACATAACATTGAGATCAACGATTGGAAGATGACGTACCTCCTAGGGTCAGATATGACAGACCAATACGTATGACTAGGAGGGGGTCGAAGACCATGTTCATCCGGATCCTCCAACCAAGCTATTCGCGCTGTGGGTGCGGCATACTTGATTAATGTACCTAATATAAGATAAAGGAATTAAGTTGTTATGCCTCGAGCGTTGTCAGTTATTCAACCTCGATAACTACTGCATACCAAGCTCAAAATACGTTTTTTTCCAGTCTGTTTCGCTATTAGGGTTGTTTAATTGTGGTTTTTTTTTCATGACATATTCATCAAAACGACAGCAGCAGAGCATATGCCAGAGATAAGAGTCGTTGGCAATTCTGTTCAAACGCCGACACGTCTAGTTTTCAAACGAATACTATCAAATTCAAAACCTCCATACAGCATGCCACAGATGTTACGAGTAAACATACCAATCCAAGAGCAATAATATCCTTTGAATCAACCCGTTTCAAGATATTTATTAATATTTCGTAAGGACATTCAACAAAACTGAGAGGTCCGCCGTCGGAAGACATGGTGGTTTTAGGGAATGGGAACTTTCGACATTGTTATCATTATATGCAAATTTGGAGTGGCGTAAACGTAAGCATGTGATCGGATAAGGAGGGGACGCTAAACTCATTTTCGTTAGTTATCATTGTCATCGTTATGTAAGCGATTACGGTATTTGAGCATTTGCGTATTCGGCTAATCACTCACCTGGTTATTTCTTTGAAATTAGTTATTTTCATTTCCCGAATCATCAGTATTGGTTATTCTTTCGAGAGACATCACTTACTGGTATTTGAGCAACATCTATTGCCCAAGATTATACTCTTTGCTGATAAGGTGTTCGCTTTTCTTGACGGCGATTGTTTAATACCTAGCCACTGACCAAAAGACCCAAAAGGCCAAGGTACTACAAACAAATTCCGTCCTTACAACCAAGAAGCGCGGAAGTCCAAAAAAACAGTATATTTAACAAACCTTTAATATTACTTACTTTTATAAAAGAGAGAACAAGCGCAGAAAATTGGGATCAATAATACACAGGTTTTATAATATAGTACATAATAGCTCGTCAACTTTCTAGCGAGATGAGTCCTAGTATCGCTTTCTTGCATTAAGCATAGCCTGCTTTGTTATTGTCGTGCATAAATCCTTGTACCATCAATTTTCAGATGTTTAAGAGTGGGAAACTCGTTTTCGTAACATGAATTCTCTTAGCGTAAAGCTCGGACAGAAGTCGTTTTTTAACTGTCGCAGTATTAATTATCCAATCAAAGTATTGATTTTCCCAACGCGACTACCGTTACGTGTCAGGAATACGGCCAACATTGACCTGTCGACATATTTTTGTAGCAAGTTTCTGTCACCAATCGCTATGTGTCCGGAAAACATGTCCTGTCGATATGTTTTTGTAGCTTGTTTCCGTCAACCACCGTTATTTGTCAAGACTTATACGTCTGAAATTTAAGTATTAAATAAAACGTTGAATAACATCACGAGCCGTAAACAAGATGGAATATTTAATGAAATGAAACATATTGCTGTTTTTACTCTATGTCTTCGCACGCAATACTGAGGGACAGGATATTGCATCCAGCGTTATAAAGAGGCAGCCCATAAGCTGTGTGCTGTAAAGAATATGGCACCTCAACTGCTATATGTTGGTACGGAGGTGTATTAGTATGGGTGGTATATTGTGGTGATAAAGTATATTGATGGGGTTAACACTTGAGCAAATCTCACCCGGGATGTGTATCTGGAAGTCCTTGAAAAAGTCGAAGAAGCCATAATAACAAAAATACTTTATGAAGCAACATTCTCGAAATATGGTTCAGGAAAAACTGACGTTTATGTTAAATTGATAGAATTTGATACATAAAATGGCCTGAAGGAGAATAATGCGTGAGAAGCATGACCTTTCTATGTTGAAATATTTGAAAGATAATGCGGATCAACTCAATGCATAATAGAGCAATATTTATCTAGTATTATTATATTGCTTAATTCGTAAAAAAGAGAATCTTTTGGAGATAGGTTGCAATTATGTGGTTGTTCAAAATGATTTATTTTAATGGTTACGGTTGCCAGTCGAAGTCTCAAAAAGAAAACGCGCACTAATAAAAGAACTTTTTATAATTGAGATCGCGATACGCTATTTTGTCAGAAAACGCATCTCAATATGTTAGGAATTAGTTGCACTCACTTTGAAATTACCTAGCGACGAATGGTATAGCACCGCGCGTTGATGGTAACAAAACGAATACCGCAATTTTCTCCTGAAATTCATGGACTACAAAGTCATGGTAGAAATGTCAACTAATTACATACACTTTTTCCAGCTGAAACGGGTTATAAATCGATCTATCGCAACTTTAATGCAAGGTCTCGAAAACGATATCACGGGGCCACATTCCGATCAACAGGTAAGTAAGATGAAAACGAAATTATCGGCAAAGGCCCCAATGGCGCGCGCTGAGCATGGTATTTGATTGGAATTAAAAGATTGGATAAAGGTAAAAAATGTTTAAAAATTACTTGTGATAATGCAGGTGGTCAAAATAAAATAATAGCACTATTGATTTTATCTGTATTTAATGATTTGCAGTTTTATGAAAGCGTCGAATTAAATTTTATGGTAGTAGTTTCGGGCTGATTAAAAAGCTCCACAGAAAAACGACTGTAGATTGCGTGTGACATGTTGTTGGAACTGTGAAAAGATTGAGTACAGCAGGATTAAACAAAGTCCGGTGTTATGACAATGGAAAGGTTTCAGTATTTGAATCTTAATTCTGTATTGGAAGCAGCTTGACCCCTGGAATTGTTAAAGCCCATCTTGTACTAGCTAAAATGATGCTTTTACTGAATTTAATTTATTGAAAAGTTTTTGACAAAACCCGAAAGTTTTTAATTTAAGAAAAACTAAAATTGATTAAATTAAAGAGGATTTGTCAGGCCTTCTTCTCTGTAAAGTCGTTTTGCAATCAATTGATATTCCTTCTCGTTGAAAAAAAACTATAGACATTTTGGCTTTGGTTCTGGTTGAGTATGAGAAAAGCAACTGTTTCCAAAATTATTAAAAAAATTTTATTTTAATACTAATTCTTCCACTGGATTGTAAAAGACGATTATAATGTTCACCCTTTGTTAGAGACAAATTCAAAGATATTGCTTGTCCAAAACCAACGTATATTGGCAATAAATAAATATTTGACTAAAAATTTCCATTATTTGTTAATCCTGCTGGTCATTAATGCTACTCTGTCCAATTTTTCAATGAATCTTGCTCTAACCTTTCCTGCTTTAATTTTAAAAGAAATTATATACTTAATATACTTTATTAAGTATATTAAAAAAAATTATGAGAATAAAAAAGAATTACAAACAAAAAAAATATCGAATGTCTAAATTTTTATACAAAAACTTGAACAGGTCATGCAAATATATCAGCGTTCATAATAAAGGGGGTAAAAGAAGTGTGAGTCTGATGCAGAAAGTCCAGTCATTAACATGTTTCGATCTAATAAGTGTGTATTATTAAATTTTTTGACTTGTACAGTGAACCCTTCTCTAATATTCACGACAAATTTCGTTGATATGTGCGGGTTGAGGTTAGGGAAATATGACGTCACACTAAATTATATTATAATTACATATCTCGGATTGAGTACTACCGCTTTAAATTTTTATTCATGATGCAAAGATAAATAAATCAATTCGTTGGCATATTTCTTGCTTTGATTTCATAGTCAAGTGCATTCATTTTTTCCGCGGTGGACGTTTTGATTCCTTATTCATAGTTATTTTACCCTGTTCGGTGTGACTTTTAAAGAAAGCGCGGATTTTATACAAATTGATATTTATACATAAACGAGTCATTCAGACTAAATCAGCCACTAGACAATAATTTATTTATTTCATAATAATAAATAACAGAAAGGCGTGGGACGGATAATAAAAAACTAAATGGATTGTCAATTGCTGATCATCCTTATTTTCCATTTTTAGTAATGTGTTGTAAGTACACAATTGGCTGTGAATCGTATTATAATAATAATATATGTGATATTGCAGATCAGAACTTTAAATTTAAAATAACAATTTATATTGATATTGATATCAGCGAGGAACATGTAATTAAGAATGAAACCAAGATATACAGTATGTTGGTAGGGATAGCAACGGGGTATGATATTAAATTTGATAAATTTATATATGGGAAAATCTGTTCCGTAATCGCCGTTGCTAATAGAGAGCAGATGATGTTAACGGGGTGGATATTAGAGAGAGTTCACTGTATTAATATTTCCAAAAGACACAAATAAAAGCACAGAAATAATAGAACGCGAAATAAAACCATAAACGTGAGCTCTGTTTGGCTTTTTGTATGACGCGTTTGTGCTAAAATTGATGGAGATATGCAAGCATAAAGTTATGATCAAATGGCAACTTTTTTCATCACTGTATATCATGTTGTATACATAATACACAGGTTGTGTTGTACTTGCTGACAAGTCCAAGTACCCACATTTCTTGTTGCTTAGAACACTGTCATGATATAATATGTTCCAATCATACTAGCTACTATAAAGGACAACAATGACGCTCAATTATTTGAAATATTGAACAGTTTTAAGTTTGAGGAAGCTAAACACATGCTTTTGTGTAACAAATAGAAGGTAATAAATTCATTATTATTATCACACTCTTAAGAAACCTTTTTTTTTGTAATAGTAAAACGGCTGAAAAAAATGGGCCATAAAAACTAACAATAATTTGTTTCTTCAGAATATGACTCAAATCCACAAAGAGTGGGTGAATGTAAAGAGGAACAAGCATTGTCAATCAGCACAGTTAAATATTGGATTGCTACATTCAAAGTATAATCTGAAAAATTTCTGGAATAAAGATCCACGCGCAAATCTTTTCAACCTCTCAATGTAGACTTTAACAGACTGAGCCTGCCTTTTATCAGCGCATGACGTTACCATAAAAAGACTGCCAGAACGTCTCGTCTTCATACCTAGCAACCATCGATTGCGAAAGGTCTCCAAGTCAGACTCCAAAGTCTCTTTAACTCAAGATTACACTTCCTAGAGAGAGAGTCGAAAGATTACGTCTACGATTACGTTACAGAAAGCTCGTTCTCAAACGTTGCCACCCTTTTTACTATTCGGAATATCGACTTTATTGTGCGAAACAAAATCTTTATTCCTGCCTTGATGAATCAACATCTGAGATGAATATGGGAGAAATGAGTGCGGTGACAAAGTTATCCGAGTTTGATGTTTATGAGAGAAAAATTAAAAGAATTACGTTCGTTAGGTTGAACGTATGTTGAAAGTGATAACGTTTGCAACCATAAAATCTATTGGTTTACACCAGCGACTTTTATTGTAAACTTTACAAAATAAATAAAAAATTTTTAATTAGTGGAGCCTGACAAACACGCATAATAATAAATAATCAAGTAAACAATTCAGCGAATGAAGTTACTTGCCAGATGTCGGAAAACTGTTGAAAAACTTAGACTGGGCTAGATTTGAATTTTTTATTTAATCAAATGACAACTGAAATCCGTGGATTACGCGAAGGAAACGACATTTAAAACAACGCATCTGAAGAAGAGAACACCAGAAGCTATCGGCGAATGTACAGATCAGAATAAATAAATAGAGGGTGAAGATGTTAAAAATGGCTTTACCAGAGTGACCAAAGAATGTATCATACCATTAATAACTTTGAGTCCGAATATTTTTCTCCCATGCAATTACTCTGTTCAAGAGCGGTCGCATTCTATCTCTGTTTGTTAATAAAGATAATGAATTGTGTCCACAAAAATTAAATTATTGCTACGTCATTCTATTTGGTTACAAAGTGTATCAAAGTAGTGGAATGCTCAACAAACGGTCCTTTATCAACAAGCATAATCTATAAGGGACGATTTTTTGTTGATATATCACTTGATTAATAGAGATCTTGGTTTAAGTTAAGTTTTCAGTGATTTTCTTTATCTAAATATTTCCCAAGAATTGTATTATTGAAAACTTGGGCAATTTTCACCCCGTTCTTTTTTTTTTTAGAATGCTTCTAATAATGCCGTAATGTATTGCTTGGTAGAACTGATTTCTCTTTCCGCAGCGTGGATAATAATGTAAGTTACATTATATTTGCCTATATAGATAACTTTAGCACTAATTATCTTGGTATACTATACATTGTCGTTTGTAGTGTTACACGGCAAAGTCACGTTTCTACCACAATTTTTTAATTGCAACCCTGCGATCTTATCCCCTGCACTATAATATTTTTTGCGCTTTAATGAAAAAATTTTCGTTTCGTGTCTTCAATAACAAATCATAATGCTCATACTAGTTGAAAATGCTGCTGGATTTGCTCTTTTCCGATATAATGGAGCGACCATGGATTTTCCTCAAACTATAGCGCAACGCTTTGAAACAGCAGAAAAAGCAAAAAGAGCGTACGTATAGAATTGTAATGAGATCTCGCGTTTTATAGCCTGCTCCCCCGTAGACCGAAGCGTCGATTGATGTTAATCTGACCATCCAACTATAATCCGCCAATGTCGACCACCCTCTAGTGTTAATCTCCAATTTTTTCATAAATTTGCTGGTATGGATGAAGCTGTGGAAGCTTGTTCGGCCATAGCAGAGAGTCGAATATCCTCATCGCTTGACGATTTTCTGAAAGAATCATTATCTGAAGACATTAAAAAAAGTGAGAAGTTGGTAGTAGCAGAACCCAAACTTGGTACGTATTTTGTAATCAAAGTGATTAAACTTTGTTGCGTCCCTGTCAATTAGAGTGTTCATAATATACGTGTGCTTTGCTTATCCATGTCTGATTATACATTGAATGAATTGTACAGGAAATGCAATAAGTGAAAGATATGGAATCCAAGTACTCGTAGATGACAGGACTATGAACTTTTACCGTGGAATCCGCGAACATATGTCAGATCTTCTCGGTACAATTGCAGCTAAAGAGTTATCAGACATGAAACTTGGTCTGTCTCATTCTACGTCAAGACACAACATTCAATTTTCGCCGGATAAAGTTGATACGATGATCATACACGCCGTGGCATTGATTGACGATTTAGACAAGGAGTTAAATAGTTACACGATGAGGTGTAAGGAGTGGTACGGATATCACTTTCCTGAGATGAAAGACATAGTCACTGACAGCTTGCAGTTTGCAAAGGTCGTTAAGGCAATGGGTAAGCACTTTTTACGTTTTGAAAATACTTAGACTGTAAATTTTCTGTGTGAAATTTAATTTTTATATTTTTTTTTCATACTATATACAAAAGGCACTCGCACATCAGCCCGCACAGCAGATTTATCCGATATTCTTGACGAAGAAACGATTGCTCGACTTCGAGATGCTGCTGATACTTCAATGGGTTCAGACATCACGATGGAAGATGCTCTGAACATTGAATATGCATGCGAGCAAATAATAGCTCTTACCAACTACCGCACGGAACTACAGCAATATTTATCTGCTAGAATGGCAGCTATTGCACCAAACGTGACACCGCTTGTAGGCGATCTGGTTGGGGCAAGACTGATTTCCCATGCAGGCAGTTTGATGAATTTGGCCAAGTATCCTTCAAGTACTGTACAGATTTTAGGAGCCGAGAAGGCATTGTTTAGAGCATTAAAAACTAAGCGTGAAACACCAAAGTACGGAATCATATATCATGCGAGCTTGGTTGGACAAGCGTCAGCTAAAAATAAGGGAAAGGTGAGTTTAAAGTGCGTATAGATATAGAGACAACGTGTTGGCTCGTGCCGCCCATATGAAATGATGCGACTAACAACTATATTCAAAATCCTTGTATAGGTTGCTCGAACTCTTGCCTCAAAGCTGGCATTATCTATACGTGTTGATGCAATCGCAGAAGAAAAGGATGAAGCAGGAGAACTTGGTAAAGCGAGTCGCGCCTATCTTGAGAAGAGGGTGGGTCACTTGGAGGCACGGTTGACAAATGCTAAGACCAAAGACAAGCCAAAAAAGAAAGAAGTAAAGTCCACAAAACCCAAGTATGTATATTAACTCAGCGTAATTAATTGATTTTGTTGATTACCGAGTCAAGAGATTCTCATCTTCACAATTACCACATGTATTTAGAGATGCTGGTTCATATAATATTTCTGGAGATGTAGTTACTGCACGAGCATCTAGCTCCAAAGAGATTGACAAAGATGAGATGCAAGTAGACAAATCATCATCTGCACCCGCTTCCTCAGAAGAAACAGACAAGAAGTCTACTAAGAAACGTAAACAACTTGGGGAGGCAGAGACAAAATTAAGCAAGAAAGCGCGGTTAAATGATAATATCAAGGGCAAGATAAAAGAAACGACAAAGTCAGAATCAGAGTCGGAATCAGAATCAGAAGAGTCGGAGTCAGAGTCAGAATCAGAAGAGTCAGCATCAGAATCAGAAGAGTCAGAGTCAGAGTCAGAAGAGTCAGAGTCAGAAGAGTCGGAGTCAGAGTCGGAGTCAGAGTCGGAGTCTTGAGCTGCCGAGCGAGGAGACATTTGATTCCTTGCATTTTCACGTTTGCAGTAGTCTAATTTTTTAAGTGATATAAAAATAAAACAGACAACTTCATAGGGAAGTTCCTTGTCTTCATCGGGACTTTGCCAAACTAACATAATAATTATATGTAACTACAGAAACCCAACGTTACAAATCGCGTAATCGATAAATCAAATTTTCTACAGATTTGGAGATAAGATCAGAAAAGACAAGCGGAGCTCTTGCAAATGACTAAACCAAGAGAGTAGGAGTGCATTCTCTAGTTTACAATCGATCAGCCCCGAAAAGAATTCGGCACCGATAGAGATGATTCTGGCGAGAATTGTTTTGTAGGATGGAAAAATCGTCCAAGTCCTAAAAGCCACGCTAAATGAACTATCATAGTTGCTTGCTACTCCAGTAGAGAATTATTATCGAACGCGAACAAAATCTAGTATCTTTTTCAAGCTTCGTTTCTGGAATCGCTTTACAGTTTCAAAAACGCAGGAAGGATGCCACTCCATTTCACCGCGAGGATCCGGAGGATGTCCCCAGCGACGTAAACGAGTGTTGATATTAAACTTGTACTCATTACATAATCTGTTTTTTCAATGCAGAACGCGTGGTGTTTAGTATTTCAGTCTAAGGAATAGTTGGTGAATTTATTATTAAATCCAGTATATTATCGTTACAGAAGATAATCTCAATTACAACCTACATTTTCGCCACATTGTTCATACGTTCGCTAAACCTCATTAGTTTTAAGCGGGCAAAAGTTAAACACTAAAAGAAAAATATTAGCAAAAAAATAAAATAGATTAATGGAAAATAGCCTAATTTTTTATAACTTGTTGACTATTTGCAAAAAATTGCTGCTCAATATAACATTGCTTCCCAGTAGCTATTATTGTGGCTCTCCATTGTTCGCGCCATTTGGAATTTTTGCAGCAAAAGAAGGAAAAGGTCGTTTTGATAAGAAATTCTGAAGATGAAGAAATCGAGACTCGGGCATTTTCTTCTCAGGTGAAGGTCAATGTGAGGAAGCTTTTCTCCGTTTGGATTTTTTAGCATCGCCCAGAAATACGTGTTTATTATTGGCCATAAATATACTTACCTAAAATTTATCCTAATAATACTGGTTTACACGTAGACATGGGCCCACATCTTGATCCCCTCTGATACCTCCATTTACACTACCATGCAATACTATCATCATAATCATAATTATAATGTTTACCCCATCCATTTTGCCAAACTGAGAAAAAGCGTTCCCCAGCTTTGTTCTCCCCGCATTCCTTTTTTTGCACACAAGTAAAAACGTTTATTTTCATAAGTCACACAACTGATAAATTTGTTCAGTCGCACAGATTGCTTCATCTACCAGCCTGTGTGATCTCAAATAATTTCGACGAGATTAATATGGTGAATATGCGAAGTGCATTCTACATACTTTCTTCTTATCGCAGGAGAGCATTCAGTACAGCAACACTTATCTCAACAAAACAACTATGTAATACTTTTTACTCACCGCAACAATGTCACACACTAAAGTGCACAATTCGACTGTACACGGAAGGATTAACAAACGCACTCCAGAAAAAATCCAATGATCCTCTAGGCGTCTGTTTGAGAAATAATGACATTGAGGCTGCTTATGCATTGTTCGAGTCTCACTTGCAAACAATAATTTCGGACACTAACGGTCTTCAACAGACCTCATCCACTTCTCATAAACAAGCTTTACCTTCGAAAAATCTAACTCCGCTCGTCTCTATAATTACAGAGTTAATGCGTCACGGTCATACTGAAGTGGCCTGGAAATGTTATAATACGCTCGCATCTCAAAACATTCCATTAGGACTCGAGGTATATCACGCGTTTTACCAAATTCTATCGGACACTGGACAGATGCACGATGCCGAACGCCTCTTCTCCGAAATGCTCCACTCTTATATTTCGCCTAACACAAAGACATACGCAATTCTTATCCGGGGCTTTTCCAATTTGGGGGACGACCAAGGAGTTTTGAAAATTCATAACATGATAAAAGTTGATCTGAATATTGATATTGATATTGATTTATATAACGCAATTATGGATGCGTACAATCGTCTGGGTGCCGGCCTTGAGGTTCTTAGTATTTTTGACTTGTTGATTGCAAATAATTATCCTATCAACAATACAACCGTTTCGATAGTTCTGGATTCATGTGGATCCATTTACCAAATGCATCGGACTACGCAAATATGGAATTCCCTCAAACAGAATGGGTTCAAGTTAAACGAAGAAAATGCGACATCCTATATTGAGGCATTGGCAAGACATAGCATATTTGAAGAAGCAAAGAGAGTGCTCATGGAAGAGATGAAAGAGTTGGGATTGAAACCCTCACAAAAGACATTGAGAGCATTATTGACTTACTTACATGCTTGGGAGAAAAGAGAAGACGAATTCGAAGTTATTGATTGGGTAAGGAGAGAGCATCCTGAATTAGCTAGTGAATTAAGATGGATCCAAGATATAAAGTCAATCAAAGAACTTGGATGAACGAAGAGGTGAGAATTTGAGGGAGGAACTATTGGTTAAGACTAGAGAATATAGCTATTATACAATTAATTTACAGTTGTGTGTTGTCGTTGTCGTTGTCGTTGTTGCCAGTGTGAGAAAAAAAGCAACCAATAAATAAATGTAGTTTATAACTATACCGAAGACACGGCCTATAGTTCAATTACCTAATTGCGTAAAGATACAAAATACCGATTTCCTTTCTCTTCACTACCCAACTCACTTTTCCAATCATTTCTTTCTATTACTCTTTCCTCGCCCTCGTCGCTCATTCGGGTTTCGTCTCCCATATCCAATAATTGGTGGGCCCACCGTGGCATGCGGACCGGCACCAATCAGCAGGTTTGGAACGTAATCAGGGTCAAATATGTCAACCTTTTTTTGTTTTTGGTGCGCCCTAAGCGCCCTTTGATATTCATTTTGGTCTTCGCGGAGCACGAGATTTTTAGCCTTCCTTCCGCCCTGGGGATTTGGAATTGGATACTTGAAGACGAGACAAGTTATAGACGTATTTGTTGAATTAGTTTGAGAGTAATGTAACATATGAAAGAGAATAACGCATTATACTATATTGCCGTATTCTATCCTTTACATAATGCAGCAACCAAATAATTTATGAGATATGCCTACAATTGTTCCTCTGAGGTTGTATTGAAAATTTCTCTTGAGATAGTAAGTAACGTTTCCATTTTCATCTGTTGTTGTAGATGTGCGAATGAGAGTTGCATTACCACATGATGGACAAAATTGTTTTTCCATGTTAGTCGTTATTCTATTGACGTGTAATAATTGTAAAAAGTAGAAGTGATGTTAAATCCATTAAACAGTATTGAGAATGGATGAGTTTTAGAGTTTGTATCTAACGTACTTGTAACATGCATGACATCTGAGTACAAAACTCTTTATTCTTTTAATTCTCATTCCATCCGCAGCAATAAGATTCAGTCTCATCTGCAGAAGAACATTCTGGCGCGGTATATCGAAATGAACTGATTACATTAATTTGTTATTATAAATGATAAATGCAAACCTTTTTTAAATTTAATGTCTCTCATTACCTGCATTGTATAATCCACAGTCATACAAGCAACTTTCATGTAAACTTCTTTTTGAGATTTGGCCGATTTAGCAATGTGACCATGTTCTTTTGCTTGATAGTTGTGGATATTATCAGGAGTAATCCACTCTCCATCACTGTCATTATCACTCTTGCCATCATCATCCCCACCGCGGCGTTCTTCCTTTTCATGTACATTCGTAGTAGGCACATCATTGTTTTCTTCTATGCAAGCAGATTCCCCAGAGTCTTGACTATTATCGCAATCATTGTTCCCATCATCATTAATGCCCTTTCCGTTGTCATCACCACTATTACCAGTCGCACAATCCACCTCTTCCTTCTTCTTCTCCTGATCCTCTCTTATAACCGTGTTGTTGGCTTCGTTTTTCACTGTTCCTCCTTGACGCGTTGTGGGCTAAAGAGTCAGGCATATAAATTATATTATTTTAAATATCCTGCAACATTCATCTAATTCTAATCAAACCTTTATTGGCTCTTTTCTTATTCTTGACGTTCCATTAGCTTCAATTTCAAGCATATAAGTTAGTGCCAACACTCTTATATCAACTGCTGACAATGCAGCAAAATCACCGGATTTTTTCGTGAAATTGACAACTGTTTAATTCATGCAAGAGAAATGCCTTAGATTTATTTACGTAGACACACTCTACGGTCAGGATAAAATAATTGATTTAAATTACCTTCTTTCAAAGCATGTTCAGATGGATTCTTAATTTCTAGTTCGAAAGGCAATTGGCTAACGTACTCTCTCGACTTATTATCCCGTATCTCGTTAAGTACCTCGGGTATTGTATAGAATTTTTGAGCCAGATAACGAAATGGTGTGCTTTTTATTAGTGGACCCGAGTCAAGTACAAGCGAAATTACTTTGGTTGTCGGTTTTGATTGCGATATGGAAGTTGACATTGGAGCAAATATAGAAAAATTTTCTGATGACAGATTTTATTAAAACCACGTGGAACATTCCATTTGATAATCATATTTTTTATGGAATCTAGTAGTAAGTAGCACTTCCTTTTATGTAACTGAATGAACATAAACTCGTATTTGTTTTTCTAAACTTTAAGGAAAGCACAAAGGTTTGGGATAGCTACTCTGATCTACAAATAATCCCTCACAACAAGCATACTCAGTCGCAAATGCAGTATCATCGTATGAAATGCAGACTCTTAGTACATATTGCATTCTGTCTGCATCAACCCGAAGATGAGCAATTTTACATAGAATACATATCACTAAAATCCGGCGTCATCATTACGAGCAGCGTTTATCTTTTATCAAACCTATTAATACTTTGATCACGCATAAAGCCAGTATATCAGCATCTGACATGTTCGATAAACCCTTACGTCTCTACCAAGAAAGTTGATCATTTCTTAATAAATCATCTTACTATGCTAATTTCGTAATTGCAATGTTTATTAGTTATTACGTGCTCTATAAAATATGACTGATGCAGGCCATTTGTTACTATAATTGTATTGTTCTATATTACAACGTCTTTTGATTACATGTATATGCTTTAAATTAATGGTTTTAGAATCACCATCTTACAGCCAATGGATTGACTAGAGTAGTCTCGACATTGTGATACTGCGTACGCAACATCAACCGCGCTTTAGGAGAGTCTCTTCCTCCGAGCCATTCACTATCAGGAAAGAAAATAAAGATTATTACATAGTCAAACATCCGATCATGTTTCAAAGTTCTCATGTTTCTTCCCATGTAAATTTAATGCAAGGCCTACTTACTCGTATAATCGCATGGCACTTTCATTCTCCTCTGGGTAACTACAGTCCACAGATTTGTACACACTATTTACCCGATTAATCCATTCCTTTAGCGGCATTTCCCCCTCATCAGGCTTTAACTGTCCACCGCCGTTAATGCAACCCGATGGGCATGCCATCACCTCTACGTAATGATAGGGCGAAGATCCTGATTTTATTTTACGAACGAGATTTTGTATATTTCGGAATCCGTTTGCTTGTGCAAATCGAAGGACAGGTTTAGAATTTATCTATGAAAAAGGTATATGCAAATTAATAGAATATAACGTAGTGACGATAACACAAGAAAAATTGTTACGAACCTCAAGAGCCACTTCCTTAAAATCTTTGTTTCTACCAATTATCACCGCAACTCCCTGTTCCTTTTCTACGTCAACATCAACGCCAAAGAGCTCTTTCGCTGCGCGTCTCATAACATATTCCAAATACCCTCCTGAAGCAGACCCATAGCTGCCCATAATCTTCTCCTCTGATGTCATCTTTGTAAATCTGTCCAACGGTGCTTCGGGTGAGTCAGCGAGAGAAAATGATTTCTCGAAAAGCATTTGAGCTATTTCGCCTGTGGTTAATACACAGTCGACGTCGCGTGTCTGATTCTCCGTTGAAAAGAAATCGGAACGAGAAGCTTCAAGTTTCTTGTCATAGCACATCATAACAGAGACATGATATATTTGGCTAGATCTTTATATGAGAATAAGATTGCGACAATATTCGTTAATAATTTGTTTTTAAATTCAAAGCGACAAAATCGATCAAGACTATACTTTGTACGCCACTCGAATTTCATGAGCACCAATAATCCATCCTGAACTTTCTTGCTCTTTCCTTATTTACCTTAAGCCCAGCGTCTCTGCAAGATAGTCCTTAACAAGCACACCCATAATCTGCTGGGGTGACTTTATCTCGCTAATATATGGTAATACAAACCCATGCGTTTTTTCAGCATAACATATCCAACCTGGACAGGCAGACGCAAGCATTGGGAGCCGCGCTTTTGTCATGGCCGTATTTTCTGCCGCTCCTGCCCCTTTCCCCATGGCATTTCTCCGTCTTGACGGGTTCGACGCATTGTTGATAGAAGGAAGTGATGGCGGAAGTAGGGTGGAAGACTGATGTTCCTGGTAAGTACGAAAGCGTTCGATGAACTCGTTTGCTGTTTCGATTAGTGAAAAATCACGTGAAAAAGATGTGTCCAGAACGTAATGAACTCCGAGAGATTTAAAAAAATGAGTTAAACGTTTTGCAGTCTTGGGAGAAAGACCATAAGGGATACAAGGGAAAGCGAAACAGAGGGTAAAAATAATTTAGATCATATAAACCAGTCGCTTGATTCTTTGTTGAAGATACAAAATTTTTTTCAGTACCTGCAATGGGGTCAAGCCACACTTTGCAGCAAGTGAAGCTCGAGACTGTGGTGCTATCGATACGACTACTGTCTTTACGTCTTGTAAATTCCCTGCTTCCGTTGCATCTTTGTTTGCTTTTAAAACTTTGTATAACTCTTCCTGTGATTGCATCGTCAACAGAATGCTCTCTGCAGATGTTATACATCCACTTTGTGTACAAGAGTTAGGGAGACGAAAAACTTGTGTTAACAAACGGGAAAAATACATGCGCAAATTCGAAGAACAGAATGCTTACTTACCTGCATGCTAGACAGTCGTTGAGAGTAATACTCGCTCGTTCGAGTTTGACTTCAGCGCCACTCTCAGATACTTCATAATATCCTCCCGAATCATCAACCACTATTGATGTCTAATATTAAAAGCGAACAATATTGCAGACGTTAATGAACACTTCTATAAATATATACTTGGTCCGTTTATACTTTTTATAAACTCTGCTAATTCCCGTCAGCGTATATATTTCGCAAAGTATCGCCGAAATCGTCTTTAACTAACCTTGGCTCCTTCATTCTCGTTCTTTCTTACTTCTACAGGCATAATACAAGCCTGTGAAGGTGCAATGTAATCGTCGAGATCAGTAAGGACGACGACTCCGGAGAACGACATATTAAAAAAAATGAGATTTTCTTGTTTGATTAGAAATCGATCTCCCTTTTATTATTATGAATTTGCTAGATCTTAATGAAGATAATCGAATATTTATATTAATACATAAATATATCTGATGGATCTTTGTTTTTTGATACGTATTATCGTATTACAGTAGATCAAATATGAAGGTTGTTCTGGCTGTCACTAAACAGTTTTTTATTTGTTGTACGCGGAACAAAAACACACTAGATCAATGCCGCTACCAAGACAGTCTATCGATCTAAAGACAATAAACCTATAGCTCTTGAATTGCAAAATCCCACTTGATATGCAGTTTAATGGATAGCAAATTCTTCCTTAATAAATAAGGTTTCGTTATTATCATATCAATATATCAAATCCGTATATCGTTAATATTAAGCAGAGTTAATGCAATAATTACAGACAGTTGAATATTTAATTCCAGAACAAGAATTATTTTTGAGCATGAAGCTTTCAAGCTGAGTTTTCAGTTTCAGACAGAGATGGTTGCTTCTATAACTAATTTCTACTAACGCAGTTATTTTAAACCCAGGTAACGAATATTTGCGCGTCAAGAAATACTTGTGGCATAATAAGAAAATAAATTTGACCACAGACTTCTTATGTACTTATATGTAAGACTTATCATGTCAATGATTCTTAGATCCAGCCTTCCATATTTGAATTACAGGAGGAAACCGCGATTTGTCAACATGCGAGCAATGCATTAATTGCTATCAATCATATCTCAATACGCTGTGTGGACTGATTAATAATTTATTATCCATTCAGAACTATCGAATCATATCGTGAACTAACAATCTTTTATACAATGTCACAACGTTCGTAAATCCAAAAGATTTTATAGAATTGGCACTAATCAACTCTTTCCAACTGGTATGTCAGCAGCGCTGATTACACTAGTCGCATCTACATATACTTCTGTTATCCTGTTGGAAGAATGGTTAATGACATACGCTCTAACTATCAAACTATTATTCTATGTTGATTGGCGATTTACTTATCAACTGCGGACAACTCAAAATTATTTCACTAGAATAAAAAGCTAATGCTTTCTCCATAATGAGTTCTTCTGATAGCCTCTGCAAAAGTAGCAGAGACGTCAAGAATAACGAGCTTCGAACTTTGACTCCTCTTCTCCGGCGGAATAGGGAACGTATTGGTGACAACAAGCTACAAAGATTGATCAAATCTTATCAGCTCTATTTTAACTGCTTGCTCATCGCGAATTCAATAAACTCACCTTGTTTATGGCTGAACAGTTCTCTATATTTTTGATACTATCTCCACTCAATATACCGTGAGTAGCAATTACGTATATACATTTGGCGTCACATTTCTTTAAATGTTCGGCAGCTGCAATAAAAGAACCTGCTTTGTCAATTTGATCATCCTAGTAAACAGTGCAAATAAAGATTAGTCTACCTCAGTTACATAATGAGTTATAAATTTGCTATCTATATGCAACATTGAATATGAAATATCAAGAAGCACTAATATTCTACTCACAACAATAAACGCAACTTTCCCAGTAACATTTCCCACTAAACTAGTTGTCCTATCTGTTTCCATGTCTGCTTCTGTTAAAATTTCTCCTGTTACTAATGCGGGTGCACTAATTGACGCCGAATCGTCCCCCCCCGTATCGTTATGATGATTATTATCATCATTGTTTACAGCCGACGTTGACGCATTATCATTACATGTAGAACGAAGCGTTTGGCTAATCATCAATTGATGTCTCTCAGTTTCATCCGTTGTTGTACATGAATCAGGCAAATCATATGAACTACGATGCGACCCACGATTATAATCTGTATGGATAAGAGCAAAGTCAATCTTAAGTCTATCAGCTAATGACGTCACTCTGAAATAAAAAAAAAGAAGTCAAAAATCTGAAGCTATAATATTGGATAAAACAATTCTTTGACATTATTGACATACAAACCTTCTCGCTCCTCCAGCATTTTTGCTGACCACTACTCCGTTAGTATAGTCAGGAACGCAATCTTCTATCCACTGAATGATACGCGGCTCGGCAGATAAATTATCTACTGGCTTGTTAAAAAAGCCTTGCATTTGAGATGCGTGAAGGTCCATCGTAATCACATGATCTACACCCGCGACTGAGAGGAGGTTGGCTACCACTTATCGTTCCGATAGTGAAAGGTTGATGAAATAATGTTCATCAGTCAAGCTCACCCCTCCTAACAAAGTATTAATACATCAAGCAGCTCGTCTCGAATTCATTCTTCTCAAATTATAAAAACATGTACTTTTAGCTGCTATAGCCCCTCGCGCCTTCTTCTTCTTGCTTTGTTTCGAATAAGGATAATACGGCATTATAGCTGTGACGCGACACATGAATGATGAGCGGTAGAGAAGATAATCATTATCAAAGTACCAAAATTTATCGTGTAATGTTACCCGTGATACGCTTTGCCGATGCGCCTTTGCATGCTGCAATCATAATGAGTAGCTCCATTAGATGATCGTTGACATTTGTTGAACCGGATTGGATAATGAATACATCTTCGTTACGAACAGAGCATCCTTAATGCAGATTATTTGATATACAAAGCCGTGGTAAAATCATTTAGACGACAATAGTGGCAATTGAACAAAGAGTACATAAGCACTGGGTGAATTCTCATTACCGATTTCCACTGAAGTTTCTTTATTACTGAACGTCTTCAGAGTAGCTGGAGCAGGCGGAATGCCGACGCATTCACAGATACTATGTGCTAGTTCTTGGTGAGAAGTGCCTGCGAAGATTTTGGCTCGACGCATAATGATAATAGCGCAGAAATTCACAGACTCGGCGTTTTAACTTCATCATGCGATTGGACACGTGAGCTGGATCTCCCAATGGTCACAAGAACAATGCATGTGACTAGACACACCAATTTCGGGGTTATTTAAGCGATTTTTATTTATAGCTGCCATCAGAAAATGAAATTCTTGGTAAATAACGTTTTGATGTCATTGACCTTTAAAGCGGAAATGTTTGGAAACCCATTTTCTAAGTATTTATTTACTTTGAGTTTGTCACACAACCACTAGATAAAACTTGATACTAATGACGCAAAATTAAAATTTTTTACTCATTTTGCGAGCAACAAAACATTGGTCTCCAGAAATCATATTTCCGATTCTTACGTTTCAATCAAAACGATTGCTCTATATCCCGCAAACTTCGCGTTATTATCAAATTGCTAATATTAATGGAAGCTTATAAAAAGCTGGTATTATTTTGCTTGATATTATTCAAAAAGATAAGCCTCGCCGAAATAGACTTATAATTGGGTAAAATCCTGAACTTTTTTAATGCAATCATTTTTAAATAATCATTGAACAGTCATAATATAATGCATAATTATTAATACAATTGTTAACTTTATTCGATGGTTGATGTCATGTCATATTTAGCAGCTCAATTAAATATAACTAACACTAATATGCAAAGGTAATTAGATTATGGCTTAATACACAGTGAAACTCGATAAGTCGGCCAACTGGGTTTGACCTCTAATGGCCGACTTATCGAGAATCACGTGATTAAGTCTTTTAATTAATTCTTTTTATTTTACTAACTAATAATAATAATAATATTCTTATTAATCACATCGTAATTGTAAAATAATCCTGCAGACCAGCTTGTTTTAGAGAATCGACTTGTTTTTTTCTTATCTGACGTTGTAAGTCTTTCATCCCTGATAATGCAGAACTATTTACACTCAAACTATATATGTAGTTCAGCAAATTATGGATGCTTTCTAAAGCTATCTTGCAACTTATCGAGAATTTACATAGATTGACCGACTTATCGAGAATTTTTAAATAGTGAAAAGAACGTAGAAAAGATTTTAACCGACTTATCGAGACTGACCGTGTACTAAGTATTCGCTGAGCAGATTGGTCACGTGTGTGAGTGCATTTAGTTAACCATAACCAAAATAAAGTAATTTTCTAGTTTTTTTTGAAACGGAAATAATATCCCATATGGTAACCGACGCATGGCACTGAAACAATAAGACTATCTACTTGATGCGTTTACACGCCAATAGCTAATATTCTATCTGCTCCGACTTCGCACACTTTACAAAGTGATCAATTTATACAAAACGTCTGATTATGGTAAGATATTTTTAGCGGATACGTATATAACAATATTACACGTAATATGGTTTATTGTTATTGTTATCATTATGTAAATTGTTAATTTATCAATTCAAATGTGAATTATGCAACAGATGTTTACGATTATATCCAATGAACTGTAAGCTTGCTGTAATTAAGATCGAATACTTGCACGAATATTATACTCGTTTTTCGCAAGACTGGGTGTTAGATATTGTTCAATATCCCAGTGATCCTGCCCTGGAATATCTTCAAATCTGAAGCGCCTGAAAAGTGACACGATAATAAGACGCATTTCTAGCCATGCAAAGCTGTTAGAATAAAACTTGTGTTAGTTACGCGTACAAACGCTTCCATTCATAATATTTTATAATATATATTAATATTCCTACTTTTGTCCGATACAGTTTCGTGAACCGGCTGAAAACGGATAAAATGCATCCCGTGGTACGTCTGGCTCGAACCAACGCTCGGGAACAAATTCGTCTACATTCTCGCCCCAATATTCAGAAGAACGGTGCAGAGCATAGAAGTTGACAACTATCAGAACGTCCTTGGGGAAGAATACTCCGTTAATAATGGTATCTTCTGGGACAACACGTCCGCTACCTAAAATTTAGCAGTAGTTGCGTATTGTAAAAGCGATTAAGCGACAGTTCCAATGGTCTCGTAACAATTATATATAGGGTGCTCTAGAGATAGACTACCTCCATCTGTTAAATCAAAGGGACGGTAAATGTAAGTAAATCAGTCAATTAAAACGTGAATAACAAGTAATGCTATCGCTTACCCAATGTAATGGGCCATAGTCTCATCGCTTCATTTATGACAGCGTTCAAATATGGTAATGTCTTTAGTCTGTCATGATCTGGTATTTCGTCTCTTGGTAAATCATAAAATTCTTTGTCCAATTCATCCATAAGTTTGTCCAACTTATCCGGATTTTTTACAAGCATTAATATAGTAAAGAAAGTGCTAAAACTCGTTGTATCACTCCCAGCAATGATGAATTCACTGATTTGTTCATAAATGTCGATGTCTGATAGTTCTTTTTTTTCGCCCGCATCAAGAATAATCTGAAGAATATCTTTCCTTTTAGTACCGGTTTCTTGGCGCCGTTTGTCAATAAGATTCTTTGAAAACTTTTAGAAAACATATATTGTTACATTATAATTAAAGAATTTTAATTTGACCAGCAAAGTTTGACTTACTTCGTAAGTATATCCATTGCTTTTTGCAAACGGTTTTAGTATAGGGAATAGATTTCTCTGTTTGTGGAAACAACAATGAGTTATATGTAATTTTGAAATCAAACTGTTAGCGTGGGCCCATTCAAAGTCTGTTCTCATATATAACAATGTGGTGTGCCTAATATTACTCGATTTCATTTGGACTTCCTTTGAGAGACCGTCTTGTAATTGCATATGTTGAGTCTAAGTGTAAACAAAACTACGAAATTGCAACCAACCCCTTCTTTTGATATTTAAATAGTTGGCCGCTAGTAATTAGAGTAATGCTATAACATCTCTTATTTTGTGTAAATTACTGGGCAGCTTAATATTTTCTGGAACAACTATTAAGCAACCGTTTAACCGTTTACATACCACAATGCGTCTACTTGTCTCACGCATGACTTCACCTGGTAGTGGATGATTTCCATTTTGAATCATATTAAAACTGCCTCCAAAAGCAGTCTCCCCAATTGCATCCTATGTGGTTTGATAATTTATGTTAGATTAATTGTTCGTTATTGTATAGTATATAAAAGTTTCATACCAAGGTTGTATGGCAGATCAATTTGTAAATATTTATGACCGCTTCTTCATTTGGTGCATTTTCTTTTATCGCAGAGCTAATATTTTCGGTCAATTCACGAACACACTTTGCGATCAACGGTTCAAGGGATCGAATATATTTAACCGAAAACGCTGGTGAGAGTAATCGACGCTACAAGTTGAAATAAACAACGAATAAGTAAATTCAAAGGGGGTATAGATGTTATGCTAAGTAAGACCACGTATACTTGCACGTTGTTTATGAAACGCTTTATCGCTGTTTGTGGTAAATTAGAATATATTTAATTAGGTTTGTACGGTATCTGTTACCAAACATTGCTTAGGCGAGAACACTTACTTTGTTGAGAACAATGTTTGCAAATGTGGAGCAGCCCTATAGTATGTATAATACTCATTCTTTGGCCAATCCTGTTATTAAAATTTGAAACGCTGTTCAAGTATATGACAAAAATGGACGTCGTCGACAGTAAGGCTAACTTACCTTGTTAATAATAATCTGGATATATTTGTTAACATTAACAAAATTCAAAGTCAACATCCCGTGTGATTCACAAACCTATATCATACAAAAGCATTTTTACCTCCTTGGCAATATGTTTATCAGCAACGAAGAGTACGTTTGGAGCTAAGAAGTATTAAAATAATTATTACCAGAAATATTAATATGCACAATTAGGGTTGCAATACAACGACTCACCTTGCCGCCACACTTTCCCATATTTGGGTGATAATTCAAGTTGGACCCAACGCCACCTGATCGCAAGCCAACATAAGGATTGAAAGCGGATGAAGCGTCGGCTTAACATGAAGTAGAAATTAAATTTACCTTTGGCCCCGAACTGCTTTGACAAATGATGGAAGGGAGCTCCATAAGGATATCTTTGGTCCAGGAAAGTTACTCACCGGACCATAGAACACATTATAGATTGTCTATCGAAAGCATATGTATATTAATATTGATGCGAAATTAACGTAATGCATCTGCTATTCTTACCTGGATTACATATCTAAGAATTATAACCGCAAATGCTAGCCCAATTGCTTTAGTTATTTCAACATGGATTTCCATCGTGGTGTCGATTGTTCGTTAGGTTTGCATTAAATATCAATATGATCGCATGCTTATTATATAACATACCATCCGTCGGTTGAGTTTTCCGATAGTACAGGAGAATAGCCTTTACGGTACTAGCGTGCCAAATAAAGACATTTATCCGTCATGTATATAACCTCCGGTAACTGAGCTGAAACCATACAAATGATAAACCGAAATTTGGGGACTGCACCGCATCAGTACACTTTTCAGAACGGCAAGATATCTAATTTTAGGCCATAACTAATGAAGATATATCAGTATACACAGTCAGTCTCGACAAGTCGGCCTCTCGATAAGTCGGTCAAAAATTTCCCGACAAGTCGGCTAATCCATGTAAATTCTCAATGAGTCGTTAAGTCGGGCCAACGGCTCCAGCTACCTTAGTTGGATGTGTCTCGATGGGCCGCGATGACTAATGTCCCCAATACTATTATATAATCGGAAATTACCCTAGGTTGTACAGCCAGGAGAGGCCAGCTGAACATCCAACGAAAAGAATAAGGTACTATGATCGGCATGCACTATTATACTATATATAGAGCAATCGAATAAAAGGAGTAATATTTACGTCAGGTAAGACTTAATAATAGACGGTTTAACCAAATGCATTATCTTCGATCACATGATTTTCGATAAGTCGCGACCGACTGGTTCGGCGTGATTGTTAATCCGCAAAGGCCCTGACCTATAAACTATTAATTTAATTCGAATAGTAGTGATCGAGGAAGTCATAAACTTTGTTTAAAGATTCCCTAACTAATTAGGAGAGTAGCGCTTGATAGATCCAAGGTTAATATTGAAATGCTCTCCCTTGATTACAACTCGATAGTATTCGGAACACACAGAGAACTAATACTGGATTTACGTGAATATTAAAGTACTCGTAGCAAATATTTAATATTGCAGTATGATTACTACCATTTGCTCAAAAAGCGTTTACTTCTACCGTTAAGATTCTTTATCAATAACATTAGATTTGAAAAATAATTCAAAATTGTTGGACGTTTAATCTGTTGGAGACATTTTGGCATCTTGTAGTGCCATTTTGTAAACGTCCAACAGACACTTGTTTGTTATCTAAGTTAAAGTTGGTTAATTATTTTAATTAACTAAAGTATAATTATTTTATTATTATGATTACTGTCCTCTGTCTAAATTTAGAGTCGGGCGGGGATAAAGTTTCTCTAGGTAAGTTCGTGATTTTACTATCTAACATTCTGCGATTTTTGTGTGCGCTAAATTTGGCATTAGCAATGACATCGCTCAATATTTTCCCTTCATTTGGGAGTGTACGGAGAGCTTTGAGATTGTACTGTAGTATATCGCCAATTCCAAGAGTGTTATATACAGAAAGTGGTTGTCAAGTAATTAGACTTTAAGTGAGGAATTATTCAAGATAGAGAATCGGCGCTCGTATTATCCTAATCTTACTTCTACTTGAGAGTGTTGTGTCTGAGTTTAAAACCTGTTTCAGTTCAGCTCAGTCGCTTTGTCCAGAACTCAGTTGTTTCCCTAACTGAGTACAACAAGAACAAATAAGTTTTGTTTGTTTGTCAATGTCTTTCTTCTACTTTTAGTCACATTTTTCAAAAGGTAATGTAATTGATCAGTTATGTGTTTACTTGGCGGGGACGTTCTATTAGCCTAAATTAGATTATTATAAGCATTTTCGCCATGTAATCTTTCCGAGTTAATTTATAAAATGAGCTTATATTAAAATTATAGCAGCTCCCGTTATTAAAAAACTGAATTTGCAATAATTTATTATTCTAATTGTAAAATTACAGTAAATAATACATAATAATGAAAAGTTAAACTATACGACTATATAACCCAATATTAATATTTCTGGAGTAATTGTTAAAAGCCCATATTAACACAATGTTCGTCTTAGCTGTAATCGCCAGGGATAACTTTCTGACATCCCGCAGTACTTTTCCCCGTGTTACACTTTCTTTTGTTAGTGCAGCAACGGATACAGAATAATTCCGCATCGGGTTCAATCAATTCCACAAATTTGTTGCTATTAGCGCAGGTGGCTCCGGGAGGAGCGCCTACACTATCATACTGACCGCCTCCGTCACTCGCACTCAGTTCGTATTTTGATCTGTCTATTGTACCAGTAACTTGAACGTATCCATTTCCAGCAGCAAAGTGAGCCGTCTTAATGAATCCACTGGGAAGAAGGCCGGCACCGGGTGCAGAGGACACTGTTGTTGTGCAGAATACGACAGCATCATCTTCATGATCAGAGATGCCGCCACCAGGTTGTGGGGGGAGAAATAAGCAGAAGCTGGTTTCATTTTCGATTGCGGTGATCGTCTGTCCACTTGTGGAGGTAGTGCCAATAAATATGACGGCTGCCAGGATTAAAAAAAGAGCAAACAGTTTGGCCATTTTGTAGATAACGAAAAGGGTTTTTGAAAATGTCTTTTGCAAAGGGCCTTTATATAGAGAAAATTATGCA